ATCTCGCGTTTCATGACAATTGGTAATAAACATCTCATTTATAAATATTTACAGCAATTAAAAACAATGATTGTATAATCGACTCCTATTGACATTAAATATCAAACATTTATTTGTACTCATCTATTAAAAACAAATGAGCAATAAAAATCACAAACAAATAAATGTTTTAAGAATAGTATGAATGAAATATAATTACTAAAAAAAACATAAGACCATAATATAAAGGTAATTGTTGTTAAATAATTGACCAAATATTTTAAAAACACAATTATTGAGCGAATGTATAGTGAAATAAAAATAAACTTTTAAAAGTGTTTGAAATGTGTGCTAAAAGTGTGCGAAATATGCCTCAAAAAGGTATGGAGTCGTTGTATGAAGAGTCGGGTGAGAATCGTTTAGTGGATTCCGAGCGGTTGTCGCCATCGCTCTCGCGTTTAACGTTAGACATACCGATCGATTGGACGCTTCGGTTCAGCGAAGTCATCGACGGACTCAGTCCGCGACCGATACCACCGACGCGTCGAATGCCGAATGGGTTTACGGCTGGCTTTCGGATACTCGACTCGTCCTCCTCTTCGGTCTTTACCGCCGACGGCGATGAGAGTGAGCCTGAAGTCGAGTTTAGCGATGTATTGGGCTCTCTATAAAGCATTCATATTTAATAAATATATCACACATTTATATACATTTGTATTGAGCACAAGAAGCGCATACCTGTGCTCATCCTTGGGCTCCAATCCCTGTTCGGCCTTCACCTGTGCCTTCAGTTTACTCGAGTCGACTAATTCGCTGTAATACTTCTTGCGGTCCGACTTCTTCAAGCCCTGGACCTGAACGAAGGACTTGTGGCGGAAGGGCTTCTCCTCTGTAGTCATTTCGTCGTCGGGGTCTTCGGCGGCAGAGCTTTTGCCCCAATTCAGTGACAGTCCGGGCATTATATATGTCTTCTGTGGCTTCGTTTTGTCGATATGTGACTCCCAATCATCGCTAGACTTCGGCAAAGGGTTAGGTTTGGTGACAGCGGCCGCATTCGGCAGCTCTGATCGGTTACGACTCTGCTCTAGAAAAAGTCAAAATGAGTGCCAAAGACAGCAACGGTTTGTGTCATTTAAATACCGATCTCTCGGATCACTTGTCGATTATCCCTACACTCGTGGATGTGTTTCTTGAGGTCTTCGGGTCGTACTTTATGTAAGGCATTGAATGGACAATCTTCCAGTTTTGGATTCGCCGGATTCTGAGCGTTAAAATTGGGATCAATTAAAGTGATTGTAAAGTAAGTCTTGTGGTGACAAACCTGTGAACACTTAACGATATGCATCTGAAGACGTCTCGCCGCCACTTTGTGCAGAGGATTGTATGGACACGTCTTCAGCTCATCCCTCTGTTGCGTGAATGTAGCCATCGATGACTCGTTTTGATGATAATATCCGTTGAAATGGTCACTAAATTAACGCCAATTTAAACTGATTTGCGAAACGAGTGCTCAAAATGTGTACTCAATTTGCAATGAGGTCTGAATGGTGTGAAAGTCACGTGTTTTCACTGTTTATCAATCAGTACTGCTTTTAGCGCTCCTTTTGAATGCCTTTCAATGCATTTCAATGTATTGTTTGAATGTTTT